GAGGCGGGTGGATCACGAGGTCAAGAGATCGAGACCATCCTGGTCAACATGGTGAAACCCCGTCTCTACTAAAACTACAAAAAATTAGTTGGGCATGGTGGTGCGTGCCTGTAATCCCAGCTACTCAGGAGGCTGAGGCAGGAGAATTGCCTGAACCCGGGAGGCGGAGGTTGCGGTGAGCCGAGATCGCGCCATTGCACTCCAGCCTGGGTAACAAGAGCGAAACTCTGTCTCAAAAAAAAAAAGAAAATTCATATTTTTCAATAGGCCTACATTTCTTAATTATAAAAATAACAGGTCTTTAATAGAGAAGAAAGGATTAATTAGTTACCAGGCTTAGAGATTCAAAACCATATTGAATCAATTCTTATTTTCTTTAGCCTTGATTTGGAAAAAGTTACTGATTTCTTTTTTTACTCTGGTCTTCTTTATTTTATATAGTTAGATCCTAAAAATACAGAATAATTTTAATCTTTAATTAAATTTAATTTTCAGCCTTTTTAACTCAGTACAAAAAAACCATATATACCATGAAGAATTGCAAATTCTAATTTAGCATCCAGAGATAGCATGGCTTTATCTGTTGGTCAAAGGAACAGCAATCACAATCTTAATATTTTCTAGCTGGTCCAAATACACTTTCCAAACATAAATAGTTACAGATTTGTATTAATCATTAAACTAGTTCTTAAATATTGCAATGTCTCCCCAAAGTTCTCTTCTTAAAAAGTTATTTATAAAAATAGTATGTGTTTATTTCAGAAATTCAACAGAGAAGTATATAAGGCAAAATGTGAAAATTACTTTTTAAATTTTTCTTATTTCTCCAAGAAAAAGTGAAAATCATACTTAATTGCCACCAATAGTTTTCTGTTTTGGCCCCCATCTCCAACACTTTCGCTTCTTGGAGACAGTCATTGCTAACCCTTTAGTATGTATCCTTCAAGAGCCATTTTGTAATACCTCTCTGCCCTTGCTTGTTAGCAGTGCATTTACCGTGTGATCCTTTTCTTTTGGAGGCCCCCACACTGGTTGGTGGTACCTTTGTCTATCATTATTGACTCGTCAGCACCATCATTAGTGAGCAGTGCGTGTGAGGATGAGTCAGACTTGTACCCTGGCATCAGGTGGTTTTCAGTGTAGTAGCAGATGTATTCAGTGATAACTATAATACAAGATGAAAGAGATGTAAGAGAGGAACAGATGAAGTGCAGTGGGATTTGTGGGGTGAAAAAAATACCTTTGATTGGCCAGGAGGTGATATTTGAGCCATACCCTGAAAGATAGATAAGATTTGCACTGGGGATGGGGGAGGAAAATAGCCAATGTATTTGCAAGAGAAAGGTACAGAGATGCAAGGAGTTTAGTTATTCCATTTTCCTAGGTGGTAGCATGCATATGTGGGAGTAGCAGATGCAGAGGTTGTTTGAGGGAGGACTCTGAATACCTCTATAATAAACCTTTGAGAATTTCTGAACAGAATAATGAGTAGAGATGTGCTTTAGGAATATTAATCAGGCATTGGAAGGGGTACAGTGTCATCACAGGCTTTGTAGTTACTTGGAAGAAAAGTTGTCACAGTGAGTTGTACTGGCCAAAGAGCTATTGCTTAAAAGGGACCCGTAGGTCTTAGCAACTAAGGCACACCTTATTTTACATGCCAGTAAGGGAGACAAAACACCACCAATTAATTTTAAGATACCACCAATTATAAAAATGTGTCCTGACTTCAGAGATCACTATCATGAAGAAATATGTATTATAAAAACAATGAAGTAAGATCATTGGATCTTTGTATGGGCACAGGAAAAAGAAGAGATATGCAGGAAAGAAAGGAGAGAGTTGAGAAAATAAAAGGAAGGGGAATGAGATCAAAGACAAAAGTGGAGAAGTTGACCTTGAAGAGGAGGAGAATGCATGTATCTTCCTCTACCATAAGACAGAACTGAATGAGTAATGCTCAGGGCAGTATGAAAGTTGAAAAGCCAAGCAGTTAACTCATATTAAATAATCTCCGTCTTCATAAGAGAGAAAGCAAGGTCATCTACCAAAAGTGACAGTGGTAGGTTTGAGGGCGTGGGGTAAAAGCGTGCAAAGGTTTCAGGTAAGTGGGGTAGGAAAGATGGGATAGGAAAGGCAATTGGTTAGAAAAGACCAATAGAATTCCCAGCAGAAATGAGGGGCCCAATTAAGGTTGAAAAGTGTGGATTTATTAAAAAAAAACCAATTGGCCCTATTTTATGACTTTGTCCAGGGACACTTGGTCCCCTGAGAGAAGGATGGAAGAAAACAAATGGAAGTTGCTTTCTGCAGGGTGGGAGATTGGCTGGACAGGTATGGTGGAAGGACAGAAAAGCTAAACGGTCTAAGTTTCTCCTAAGGGAAATTGTTGATTTGGCATGCCATCGAGTTCAGGCTAAGAAATGAGAGGTGAGGCCCAAAAAGGAGTGAGAAACAGGTTTGTTTTTTTTTGTTTGTTTGTTTTTTTTTTTTTTTTTTTTTTTAACTGGTGGGGGGATTAAGGAGTTAGAGATAATGAAGGAGGTGAAGAACAAATTCTTTTGAAGAGGAGACATAGGTAAATAAAAAGTTGATTGGGGAATTTCAGAATTGGAGATCATGGAGGTGGAATTCCAGGGGGTAAGCCTTAAAGGTGAAGTGCTGTCTTTCTAAAGCACAGATGGGAGTAGATCTCTGTCTATCTTGGAGACCTCTAAGGCACCTTGTTTATTTCAGTATGAAGTCTTTACTTCTTAAGGAACAGAAAAGCTGGCCCCATCCCACCTTTCCAGGCCAGTATCTCATGGTTGCTTGGTACAAGCCCCATGTTCTAGTCACATTGAACTCTTCTCTCTGCCCAGAATCCTCAAAAGCTTTTATCTACCATTTTGCCTTTGCATGTGCTATTCCCTTTTATATAAAATGCTCTTCCTCCTCTTGTCTGCCTTGCAACGTCCTACTCATCCTCTAGACCTAACTCAGACTACACTACTCAGCGATGCCTTCCCAGGCTCCTGCCAACAACACGGAGCATGCCTTCATCCGTGCTCCCTAAGTGCTCTGTTCGTACCTCCTGTGGCATTTCACCACAAGGTACTGACTGGTATGTTTCTCTCCAGTAGACTGTGAACTCTTCGAAGTCAGAAACTATATCATCTTTCTTTACCCACAGTGACAGGACCATATTAGGTACTTAGTATCTGCTTTTCATTTTCGTTGAATTTTGTATAAATGAACTAATCCAGTACATCTCTGAAGTTCTCCCCTGTGCATTTAGATAACCTGGAGATCTTGTTAACATTCAGATTCTGATTAAGTCTGAGGTGGGGTCTGAGATTCTGCCATTTTGACAGACTCCGAGGTGATAGGCATGGTGTTTGGTCTCAGTTCATCCACAACATCTGTGCCTAAGTAAATAGCAGATGTAGAGCAGAGACAAAGGCCATTAGAAATGTGGAAGTGGAGCAGGTATGAAGGAAGTGACTTGGAAAAATCCTCAGTGTGAACACTGGAGTCCCAGAAATGACAGCAAAAAATCATGCAGGAAGAGATGCTCAAATAAAGCAGAAGAGCATAGTGGAGGGTGCTAGTTGAACAGACTGGGAGGATATAGCCATATGACTTAAGTTTTACACAGGAAAGGGTGGTTATGTGGGGCCAGCTGCTGTGAGTCAGGACTGCATCTGGTGAGGCACCGCTGAGGTTAAATAAATAACCGCAGTGAAGTCCTGCCCTCCGAGGAGGAGTGCTGGTGAGAGGAGTAGTGTTAGAAGTTGGGTTTGCAGGTGATCCTCAGGAAGGGCCGGGACCTCCAATGCTGATCACAGTAGGATGGCATTTCCACCAGTGCAGACAGGAGTGCTGAAGGCAGAAGAAAGGCTGGATTACAGGGAAAGGGAAACCCCTGCAGAAATGATAGGTGCTAGGATTTGACAGGGGCTCATTTCTGATTGGAAGTTTCCAAGCTGATAGCATGAAAGTTCTTTTTTTAAACTCATGGGTGACTGAAAAAGCAGCACTAATAAGCAGTCTATAACCACAGGTCTGAGAAGTCTAAGGGTGGCTTCAATAAACCTGTTCTTTTTTTCATAGTACTATTATATTTTAAAAAGTGCAAAGGTAATACATACTTTGTTAATAAATGAAAAAGAGAATGTTTAACATTTATTTTAACAAATAAAAAATGTTTAAACTCCTCCCACTAAGCCCCCTCCCCGCAAATCAGTAACTGGTATTTAAGCTTACTCTGTACTCTTCCAGCTTTCATCTATGCAAACTTATGTACACAAAGGAATTTTTAAATTCTGTAATGATATTTTCACTTCTTATTGGTATAAAACCATATTGAAAATAATGGCATTTTCAGCATTATTCTGCAGATAGTTTTCGTCAGTTAGAAATATGTCATAAACATCCCTGCAGGTCATTGGACAGAACTCTAACTTATTTTTTCCTACTAGTTTTAAGTAGCTGTGTATAAGTATAGATATCCCAAATTTGTTCTGCCATTCTCCTATTGATGGACACTTGGGTAATTTCCAGTTTTTGCTATTACAAACAATTTGACAATTAAAAAAAAAAAGTCTTATTACCAGTGCCTAAATAATAGAAATGTGACTTGAATCAGTCACGTATATCAAAAATAACTTTATATAAACCACATCTTTTAATGAAGCACAGCAGTGTGTAGTCTTGTTCTGTCTCATATGATAGCCTCTAGTCACATGGAGCTAAATTTAAATTAGTTAAAATTAAATAAAATTCAAATTCCATCACTGACAGTAGCCTCCTTTCAAGTGCTCAGTAGCCATTTGTGAGTTGTGGCCACCATACTGGCCAGCATAGAAGATTCTACTCTCACAGAAGCTTCCATTCGACAGCCTGGACCTAGACACTTGAGTGTGGCATCTTACAGAACCATATTTTTCAACGAGTTAGTATTTCAATAAGAGTAGGTTTGAAAAATAAAAACTTTGTATCTTTATCGGTTGCCTCTGCAGTTACTTCAATGAGAATCAATACCCAGATGAAGCAAAGAGGGAAGAAATTGCAAATGCTTGCAATGCAGTTATACAGAAGCCAGGTAAGGTCGTAGGCACAGCCTTGCACTGCGGTGCAGCACAGTGCTTGGTTACAGGTCGGCGTCTAGGATGCTAAGTCTCATGAGCCCCTTGGCATGGTGCTCCCAGCTCAGTGTGTGCCATCCTTCCACAAGTGGCCAGTGCTCTGTCCTGCTCACACAGTACTTCTGAGAGATGTTTTTATGGTACTCAAAATCAAATGCTAACACTGGAGAGTTTTCAGGGAGTAACCGTATGTGAAATATGAGACCTTCAAATTACTATTTTTTTAATGTGTAGATTTCTTTTTGTAAGAATTTAGCTAAAAGATATTAATTATGAAATAAAGTTTTAAATATTTAAGCAAGCTTTTTCAATATAAGATTAAGATAGATGACTTTTTTGTAAACAATTGTTATAAATTATAAAATGCTGTATTTCTCTTTGGGGAAAGAATTCTTTTCCATGTGGAAAGCAGATAGATGGTTTCTGTCTGCTTTCCACATTGAGATGACTTCTGCTTAGCTAAGAAAGATTTGGGGCAGTACCGTTTTGAAGTCCTGTTGTTCCAAAATCAGCAAACCTACTTAAATATTTCAAATGTATTTTCTTTCTTGCGCTAAAATATTATTTCACATTTTACAGATTTTGTTAAACAGAAACCATTCTCAGTTAATAGATCCAGTTAACTTCCATGTGGCCATTTATTTTGATTGGCTTAAAGGGTACATACAAAAGTATTAGTGTTTTATAGAAATTAAGCAGACCTTCATTCTCCCTCACCCAGAAGCCAGACTTCTAGCAATGTAGACCCTACAAACTCTGCTCCAGTGACACACAAGTGAAAGGAATCTGTACCCTGTTTCAAACATGCCAAAAGTCCCAGCCCTAAAGCTGTGCAGAAACTTGAACTCTCCCTGGAACATTTTACCCCCGTATCATCAAGGCCCTAACAAACCTGCTTTCTGGTTTCTTCACCCACTGTGGATTAATAGCTGAAATGCAAAAGGAAGGTGAGGAGGGAATGTTACAGGGGGGTCTGTATTAGCAAGCATGATACTATTCATAAGAAAATCACATTGGACTTCAAAGATGGTAAATCTAAAATGTAACCTGAATTGTACTATGTATTCCAACCCAGTTACAATAATGGATAGTCACAGCGGCCTTCGGCCTTTAAGAAACCACGTATAATGTCTATCCTCTGTCCTAAGATAGCAGGTAACTAGTTAACATAAGGCCTTAAAGATGTAAGTAAATTTCTCTTGTCTGGATACATGATAAAGAATAACTCATCTTGGGCCAGTGTGGTGGCTCACGCCTGTAATCCCAGCACTTTGGGAGGCGAAGTTGGGCAGTTCGCTTGAGCCCAGTAGTTGGAGCCTAGCCTGGGCAACATGGCGAGACCCTATCTCTACAAAAACCACAGAAGTTAGCCTGGCATGGTGGCCTGGACCTATAGTCCCAGCTACCCGGGTGGCTGAGGTGGGAGGATCTCTTGAGCCCAGAAGGTCGAGGCTGCAGGGAGCTATAATTGCACCACTGCATTGCAGCCTGGGTGAGAGAGTGAGACCCTGTGTCAAAAAAATAAAAAATGAATAACTTACTCTGCTACAATAATGGTAATTAAATGAAGCCCCCATGATACTGTCGTGCTAACGTGGATCTGGCACCCTAGCCAACTAAGTTTGTGGAAATCTCTAATATGTATGGCTTTCCGAATCGAAGCATGCTGTGTTACTACTAGTTGTTGTGTTCATTTACATGTTTATTGATTTAATAATTGGGGCGTATACTTGGTACTAGATAATACTTTAAAAATTCCTCTGCATCTGTGGTTTTGGCAGTGTAATCAAAAGCAACAAAATAAAAATATTAGCCCTTAAAACTAGTTTATTATTGGATCCCAAATACAGATTATCTGAATTTTATTGCATGTATTCACAGGTAAAAAACTGTCTGATCTGGAAAGAGTTACCTCCCTGAAAGTATATAATTGGTTTGCTAACAGAAGGAAGGAGATCAAGAGGAGAGCCAATATTGGTAATGTATCAGTGAGGCTGCTTTTCTCTCTCGTGCAGCAGTTTGAACGTCATGTTTATATTATGATTAGCTTCAGTTTAGAAACTGCAAGTCTAAAGGATCTTTTTTTTTTTTGAGATGGAGTTTTGCCCTTGTTGCCCAGGCTGGAGTGTAATGGTGCAATCTAAGCTTACCACAACCTCTGCCTCTTGGTTTCAAGTGATTCTTCTGCCTCAGCCTCCCAAGGAGCTGGGATTACAGGCATATGTCACCACGCCCAGCTAATTTTGTATTTTTAGTAGAGACGGGGATTTTGCCATGTCAGTCAGGCTGGTCTCAAACTCCTGACCTCAGGTGATCTGCCCCCCTCAGCCTCCCAAAGTGCTGGGATTACAGGCATGAGCCACTGCGTCCGGCTAGATCCTAACTTCTAAGCCTAACAAAAATTGCCCTAATGTCTTTCATTGCGTTTTTAATAAACCACAGTTAGTATTATTGACACCATTTGTATTTTAATGGTAATGACATGGTTATTTATAGAACTCATTATTCTTAAAATTCTAGAATATAGACTTATACATGGCCCCTGAGCAATTGATTACTCCTGTGGTACATATGAAAGATACTTGTTGGGTCTCGAGAGAGGCAGTGTGATAATCGAAATTTCTTTATTATTACTGGATTATGACTTAGATACTAGGAAACAATTGATTAATGGTTTGGAATGAAAGAGACCTAATAGACAAGGAATGCAGCAAAAGACAGAGATAAAGAGTATTTAAGAAGTGGGAATTCTTGATGTAATCATCTATATATATGTATACATATGTATCAAAACATCACCTTGTATGCCATAAATATATACAATTTTTATTTATCAATTATATCTCAACAAAGCTGAGCAGAGAAAAAAAAAATGCCAAAAGTACCCTAGGGGGAATTATGAATATAACTGAAAAAGGAAGAAATAATTTTTTCTCATCCAAAACTATAACAATAAGTAAGAAATTTAAGTTGGCAAGTCAGGTGGGGTGTTGGATTTTACCTTCTAAAATTGCATTTTTTTCTCCCATCCAAGTACTAACAGATCACACGAGATCAGGTGCATCGAGCATGGTATGGGCATAGACAGCATTTCGTTTCGTTTCTAAATACAATTTTTATTCATCATTACAGTTCTCATAGGCTTTACAGAACTCCAAGATAGGAGAACTGTGTAGTTAGCAATCATTTATGAAGTACCTAATACGCACAGCAGCAGAGACCCCAGAATGGCAAAGGTGTGCCTCCCCTGACCTACATGCACTCAAATTTCAGCCATCTATGTCTAAAAGAAACAAGTGTAGAGAAATATAGGGTCTTGTTTAATTACATTCTAATTTCTTCAGCACAAAAATTCAGAGTTTCAGCCATTAGGATACAGTAACAGATAATTTAGGGATCTATTTGCTTTTTTCGAAGAAGCAGCAATCCTGGAGAGTCATGGGATAGACGTGCAGAGTCCAGGAGGCCACTCCAATAGTGACGATGTCGATGGGAACGACTACTCTGAGCAGGTGAGCCTCTGCGCATCTGGTCGAGGTTCTTGGTGCCTGAGCAGGGGGACAGTGGGACAGTTCAGTTCCTGGGTGTGGCTAATGGGGTGGGGGAGGGGAAAGAGTCACTGTCCCTCCACTCCGCTCCTGTGTCTAGTTAGATTTCATGTAATTTGAAAGGAATGTGGTAAGATTCAGTTGTCCTGTTGAATTTGTGAGAAATTGTTATTCACCCACATGGATTTATTGTCATACAACAGGATACTTGGCAAGTACGCAATGGGGAGGAGGAGGAGGGAAGAAGTTCAGAGGGAGGCAGAGAAGCAGAGAAGGTAGAAGAAGAGAGGAGGATCTGATCCAAACAAGCAAGTTACATCATTCACGACACACACTCAGTGTTTGAGAAATACTAGGGGCAGCTGGGCCCCATGCCTAAACATGTACCAACGCAGGGCACGATGGAAGGCCCCACTCACTCCAGCCCCACTGCAGTGGGAACCCTCCTGCCCAAAGGAGTGGTTCTTCCAGAGTCTCTCTGGCACACTGACACATGCATCATCTCATAAGTGCAATACCTGCATGACTCCTTGCCTCGCCCTGATTTATTCAGCATTGCTTTTGGGGAAAATGTATTTAATTGTAGCCACTGCATGGAGTAATTCGGTAACTAAGACTAGGGGAGTTACCCCCCAACCCGCACATGAATGTTGACAGATTTCATTACAATTTTGATAGGATTTAAATTTCCATTTGGAATATGAAGAGAATGCATGGTTTCTTCCCCTAGACCACAGCAAGAAAACTTCTGATTTTTTTTCTGGGATCTGTGCTTTTTCCTTGCCCCCCCGGGAAGCTCATATAGTCCAATGCATTCTTTAAAAGCCTCTGCTTATCACATACCTAGAGTGCATGTGAGTCTGTGCTGATCCCTTTGTAAATTCTAAAAACTCATCTGTGAACAGTAGAAGGAAACTATGTCCAAACTTCCGAAAAACTACATTTTTTTCCCTTTAGGCCTCTACTTCATAGCCCCAAGAGAAAATTCTGTAAGTCTTTCTGTTCAGAAACATTCCTGTTGTTTTTCAATCCACTCACATAGATGGATCATTTCCATCTTTTTTTACAGATGCCCTAAGGGCAGCACATCCCACGTTTTGTTTTTTCCTTAAGGGACTTACCGTTTCCAAAGCTCTTTGATACAGAGTTCCCCCGAATATGACAGGTGAGAAATGTACCCCTTATTTGTAACACCGACTTCAGTGCCTGATGTACATCCTGCAATGCCAGCTTCCTTCACAGCTTTATTGTTTAACACATTGAGCTGCGCGGGGAGGAGAGCTTCACACTCCTTCTAGGTAAGACGCCTGCCGCTCCTCACACAGCTGCCTCCAGCAGGAGAGTGCCGCACCTTTCTCCCGTAGCCATTTCCAGCAGTGATACTTGTGTCCTGTTATAATTGAGAATTCTTTTATTTTTTTTTTTTACAAAAATGCATTTTTATCTGTAAGATGTAACTAAGTTTTGTCTAGTTTTCTCAGTTCAGTAGAGAGACACCATGAATTCTAATAATCTATTTGTAAGAGCAGCAATCTGGAATTCAATAGCTCACTAGTATGGCCTTCAGTGATTAGTGCTATATTTGTTGCATACAGAAAGATCCAAATTGTTGGTTTTATATCAATCACTGTAGGTTTGATTATCACCACCAGCAATCTTTCTAATAGAATGAATAGAATTAACAGGGAGGAAATACATTTTTAGTGTTTTACTTGTTGAATCATAAAATTATCAACTGAAAATATTTGGACCCATATCCATTCAGTGTCTACTTAAATACAATTCACCTCTGTTCTATCATGAGCCCCTCCCCCAGTTTCCTCCCATGAATGTTCTGCCTCCCCTTGCCCCAGCATGTATTTCTGTGACGGAAGAATTCTACCAATCTACTAATAACATTTGTTTCTTATTTCCGCACATCTAGGATGACAGTACGAGCCATAGTGACCACCAAGACCCCATCTCATTAGCTGTGGAAATGGCAGCAGTCAACCACACTATCTTGGCATTGGCCCGACAAGGAGCCAACGAAATCAAGACAGAGGCCCTGGATGATGACTGATCAGGGAGGTTAAACACGACGAGTTAACTTAGTTTAGACGTAGCACCTTAGCAGACTTTCCTCGGTCCTTAACATGTGTTCTTACAGTATAACTTGCAGTTTCTTGTATGTCAGGTAGCCGTTAGGGTCTTGTTCTGTGAAGATGGCATGGTGCCCTCAGCCTTTGCATATACTCTCTCAGTATTAATTCCTAGTAAATAATAACCAACCAACCAACCAACCAAACTTCCCTCTCCCAGCCCCCGAGGCTAGAACATCTTGCTGCTCCGTCTTAGCATTCCAAGAAAGTGCTTCCAGGTATTTAGATAGCCCTCAGTTCTCAATTATTAGGCTACGTGTAAAATCTTGGGTACCTTTAGATTCTTGTAACACTAGTCTGTACCCCCTTTTCCTTCCCCAAGACTGATAGGATGCAAGCTGAGGTCGTGGCACAGGAATGACAGACACCATTTGGGGAGTATCCACAGAGTCAGAGGAACACTAGAACCCCCACCTCAGCGTGAGGATAATTGATTTCCAGCTGCAATAAGCCGTGCCTCATTATAGCCACGCTGTGGCTAGATTATACTTCTTGGGTGCTGTGCTAAGAATGTCAATGGAAAAAGTCAATCTCACATTTTGTTTGAAGTTAACATGCCTGACACAGACATCCTTTTCTCTCACAAGCTGTGTGACTTAGTAGATAAAATACTGCCTTCTGCCTTTGGGACCATGATTAAAAACAAAAACTAAAAGTCATAAAAAAAAAAACAAAACCCAGCTTGAGAGCATTGGGAAAAAAAAATAAGAGCTGAATGTCTGATGGATGCTAAAGTCCAGTTTTCAGAACCACTGCACATTCCGCGGCACAGTTAGCAGTGCCTGCCTGGAAAAGTTTTGGAGGTCATCGTGGAAGTTGCTTTGCCTCCTGTCGGTGTCCCCTTTCCCTGCTACCAAAAAAATCTTTCAAGGATGGAGCTAAGGTCAAAAACGAGTGAAAAAACTTGCAGTGTTTGTATCCATTAAACTGAAGCCCCCTCAATCTGAGAGGTCACTAGAAGACTTCATAGTGGGGTCATGCTGCCTGTCACAGATGCAGACGCTTGCCCAGATAGGAGCAGAGAAAAGCAGGGGACGCTTCCCACTCACATTGTGGCTGTACCAGAACAACAGGATGGGACTGCTTTGCTGTTCTCTTTACTCTGTCCTTGGAGAGATGTGAAAAGCTGTATTGCTACAGGCAATTTATTTAATAATTGGAAGCCATATTGATAATGGATGTGGTAATATTTGTAAAGTTTAATCTACTTTAAGCGGCAGTAACTAATGGAATTTTTTTCCTTGATCACATATGTAGCACTTTTGTTACTTTTTAAAGATATTTATATTTGATAAATCTTTTTTTCATTTTGAGAACTCAAAAATACCAAACAGTGAACTTGTGTTCTAAAGTCACCCTGTGATCACCTTGTCATCTAGTAGCAAAATGATGAACTATTCATGCATCAAAGAAAATTACATCTGCTGGCCTTGTATGAAAATGATCTCTTGGCATCCCGATTAAATGACACACTGTCACTGTGGGTAAGAGGAAAGAGCCTTCAATGTAGCAGCACAGGGTGCATCTGAAAGAGGCACAACTGCTATGTATTTTCTGCCTCATCCGGTCCCTGCTGTGTAGAACGAAGCCGTGTTTAAAGGGGACTGTGGGTCTGGCTGTTACGTGGGGCTTCTTTCTGTCCGTTACCTGAAAACAATTTCTAAGACAGAAGGAAGGTGCCATTTCCTTACCTCTTCAGCCATCCTCCTCTACCAAATGTATTCAACTTAAAACTATGAGAGACTGAATGACCTTCCTCGATTTTCCCTTTCTCATTCAGGAGATACCGAGTATCCGCCAGTTTCTATCTGACCTTCTTCCACTTCAGGCACATGCTGACTGCATCATTTCCTTATCTGTTAATCGTGCTTATGTGAGTGTGAGGCGAGTCTTTGCGAGAGCATGAAAGTGCCACCTTATATATGTCTGTGACTATAAAGAGCTATATGCAGGGCCTGCTCCTGCTCTTGTCCATGGATTTCAGGGGGAAAAATATATGTACTTTTTCCAGCTTCCAAGCATTGAAGTAAAGCAGAGCCATCTCTTCTGTTTTACTGTATTACTTGAACCAACAAATTTAAGAGTAGCATTTGTTATTCTCAGGAATGAGCCTCCCTTTCCCCTCTCATATTCTTTCTTGGTCTATCTGACTTTTTATTTCAATTAGGAGATTGCGTTATCTTTCTTCCCTTTTATTTGGCTTAGAGGAAATATTTCCATTTTGGTGGAATTTTGTCTGCTTATTCTCAATTGAATCGGAAAGAACAAGGAGACAGAGAAAAAAATCTACTCTCTGACAAGCCACATTCATGATTGATTGTAAGGAGATTATTATAATCGATAGCTTCTTTATGATGGGATTGCTAGTATCATTTGTTCTTGCTGGTCTTTTTAAAGGAACAGACTCAAACTGTTAAGACAGCTGCAGTTGCTAAAGAAATACAAAGATTGCCATAGAAGCACTAAAAGGTTTCATTGTTTTAACACCTATAAGGGAGGAAAAAAGCTTCAGAGAATAAAGGAGTTGGGAGTCCATGAAGGGTGGTACCAGGCCCTATCTGGCAATGTGGTATAACTGAAAGAACATTTGTGCCACTGCAGGAGAATGTCCTGTAGCGCTCAGTGGGAACAGGATGAAGGCATTTTCCACCCACAGTCATCGTCGTCTTTGGAGAAGACCCACTGCCTTACATGTCACCTTTGCTTTTTCATCAGGAGTGAAAGTTTACTTCCTTTGGGCCTAGATTTAAATCTGTCGGTTTTCTGTTTGTCTTGTCCAGGCCACCTTAGTTCTTCTAATGGTGTGTGGCACTGCTCCTCTTACATTCCTAGTATCTTTAGGTAGTATATTTCTTGTAATCTTTTTCAGGTTTTAGAGGTGGAATTAAAAGAGACACCCTAAACTTCCTTGTTACTGAAGGGAAAGCAGCCAGTCTCTAAAAACTCACGCTGTGTGCTTCTCGGTGTCTGTGCCCCTCCCGTCGGACTTCTCTCCCTCCTTCAGGCCCTGGGGACTCCGCAGGGGTGGCTCCTTCCAGTCAGGAAGACTTTGAAAAGTCCTTTAAAGTGGTGGGGGGACCTTGCCAACAGGTATTCATGTAATTTGTTATTTCTTTAAAGACACTTTTAATTGAATTACTATTGTCAGATGGGTAAACTTCCAGCCTTTAAAAACACTGACACAAGCACCTTTTAAAATGGGTCATCTTGATGAGATCTGCCCATCTGTTGATCACCCCAACAGCAGATGAAGGCTGGGGAGGGCAACACCCTGCATTCTCATCTCAAGCCTTCAGTGCCATTCAGTCCCATATGGACATTTTGGTTTCTTTCAGCAAAGTTTAAAAAGTTGGAATACCCTTATGGCAATTTTCTTTACAATCACAATCACAATTCTTTATGTGGTTAGTAAAGGTAGTTGCCTCCCACCCACCTATGACTTTGAACAGTCCCCACCCCTGTCACTCACAAGGTCAGTCCTCCCACCCCACCCCCATATTCACATTCCCATGGCCCCTCACAGGAAGAAGGAACCTGGGGCAGAGAGGAGGAAAATCGTCAATACTAAAGTGTGCATGTCAAGTTCTCTAGTTCTTGGTAGATTTATGCTGCCAGCCAGTTCAGTGATCACCACCACCTATGTTAGGTCCATGTACCCAGATATATTTTACCTCACAGGAGATGACTGAAGAATTCACCAATATAATTGTTTCCCTTCTGCCTGTTTAACGCTTGTCTTTAAGAAATACTGGCTTTAGAAACTTCTCCCTTGGGTATCAACCATCAGGCACCAAGTATAAACACACTCATTGCTGCAGGAGTCTCCACCCTTATGCTATCTGTCCGAACAGCTTCTCTTCTCTCTCCCTCTGACTAAGTCTTCAGCTGACTTCTTTGCTAGAATTTTCTAATCTTGTTAAAGCAGGGAGAAGTAGCTGGGTGTGGTCCATCTCTTCACACAAACACTCCTCCTCGTCTTGACCAGCTACATATTCCACTGACCAGCATGATCATCTCTGCCCTCAACTGTGGGAATGATCCCTTTTCCACAAATGTTCTCCCTCCCTCCCATCCCTGTCCTACAAATGTGAACTCTTAAGTCTTTACTATCTGGTCTTAAGAAGAGTTTGGTTAGAAGCAGTCTTCCCATTTAATTTGTGGCTCTGCCTTTTGAAATTGCTTTTTGTCTTTTGTTGTTGAGAGAAAAACCAGCGTGTTTTCTTCCCCAGATGTCTCCACAGATTCTTAGGCAATAATTTTTCTTGTTGATGATCCCATGCTCAGTACTACACTACACTGAAGAACCCAACCCACGCCATTGTGTGCTGGTTTCTGTGTCAGTCTCTGTGACCTGAATCATGTCAGAGTGATGATAGATTTTGTCATTTCGTTGTGATTGTTAGTCATGTTTTACTACTGTATTTCTTGGGGGCTGCGCTGAGACCACCCAAATCCATTTATAGCTTTGCTGAGCCGGATTGATTTGTCAAGATTTCCCAGTGAAAGTTGGGCACATTGCCCAGCTCCTGCTGTATCTTTGGAGAGTGTGGCATGGGGTGGGGGGATGTCCTGGGGCAGGGGTGGGAATGACACACAGAAGGCGTTTTACTTTTTTTTTTTTTTTTTTTTGCGTGTATTCATTAAATAGCAAGGATGTTTCCTTGGAATTTGGGGATCATGTCAGCCATGTTGAATTTGGCAAACTGAGCTGCATGCCCTGAAAGCCGTCTTACTGTTTCTTCATTTCCGTATTAGGAATACCTGAGTTATCCAATGTCGTGTTCCCCGAGAGTGGAAGGCTTTCCTGGAGAAGCAGCTGCGCATGGCCAGGTCAGCTGTCCGGATGTCACGTGGTGTGCGGTCAGAGCAGAGGGCCTTCCTTTTCCTGTAATGTGCTGTTACTTCTTTATGCATGCTTGGTTTCAAAGATGACTGTCACTTTAAAAGAAAGATTTCCTTACCACTCTCCAGAAAACTAGCACACTAAGGTGGTAGGAAAGGCTTCTCAGATGCAAGCCAACAAGTCAGTTTTCTGGTGACGGAAAGTCCTCTCACATACAGGTTGTGTTTGGAAAGGGTGTTCTCAGCTCTATTTATAAACTGCAAGTGATAAGCTACTGTCTTGTGACCTCCCAGGCCAGTGGTTGACTCACTCATCTCAGAAAGGTAACTTTGTTCAGATCTACGTATAATTTTCAAACCTGGAAGTCTGTATATTGAGAGTTTCAGTATTGGCTTTGTTATTCTTTCTTGGTGAGGATTAGAAATCGCATCAAAAAGCAAGCCAAGAATCTGAAAGCTCCAGTCTCCTTTAACACTGCCTTGGTTTTAAATCAAGACGGGAAGAGACACATGAGGGGAGGAGGGAAGATTTGCCGGCTTCTTATCTCAATGACGTAGATGCCTCAGGATTACAGGCGTATGGATCCCTGAGCCTCTTTTTAGTCATTCTTCCTCTGACATTCGTGGCAGAACTGAATTTAGTTGATTCTGTTCACGTGAAACGTGACATGCATTTTGACACCATGAGACAGTTGACCACCCACATGCCACACCCACTGTCTCTCATCAGCCAGCCTCCTAACCGCACCCAGAGGGGCACAGCTGCAGGGGCGCCGCACCTTCCTCCTCTCCTGACACTCCTTTCCCGTGGCTGGTCTGCGGGTTGGTCGGCCCCGGTCTGGACAGCTGCATCCGCTGCTGCTCGGCTGCCCTCCGTGTGGTCGGTGCGGCTGGCGTGGGGATGCGCAGCCCAGCTCATACTTGAGAAGTCTCGGGATGCCGGTTCCCTGGACTCCCCATTTTCATTTTCTCTTTTCTTTTAAGTAAGAGTGGCTCTGTATAGCCATAATTAACTCTCCAATTCACATTGGTGTGATGTGATCAAATGAAGGTTGGGCTGAATCTTTTCAAATTGTAACCATGGTAATTGAGGGGGGTGGCATAGAATGAATATATAAAAATACAATGGCAATTGTTCTGAATGACTGAGTGTCCTTCTGACATGTAATTAGCTGTTTTAGCAGGATGTAGATTGGCATGGTCATAATTAAAAGGATTTCTGTCCTTTATGTGACTGGAAATGGCAGAGCTCCCATCTCCTGTTCCCTCTTAGCGCACTAATGCTCCCGAGAACATTTGGAACAGCAACTCCGTAAACTAAGATAATGACATGGTGCTCGTGTTCTCCCCTTAGTGAAAGAGAAGGATTTGGAGTTGTTTCAGCTTCAAAATGGAAGCCTTTGATTATTGTTCCCAATTTGACTTCTAAGTTCTTTGAAACGTCACTCACATCCAATTCCAACTTGCCTCACCTCTGGCAGAAACCACAGTCAGGACCCTAGAAGGAGCCCCTCTGCCTGGACCCCAGTGCACTCCAGCCCAAGGGCTGGCCCGCTCAGAGCCCTTGCTGACCTAACTCAAGGATATTGCTGCTTCCTGGGCTCCCTGTGATCTTCAGATTTCCCTTGGTTGCTTGATCTTTCCATTGCCATCACTATCGGAAAGCATTTCCCAAAGAGAAATTTACAGAAAATTGAATTTTCCTCATTGAATCCTAGAACTCAGAGCAGACAACATGACAGGACACACATAACTAACACAGGCGATAAGCAGGCAGGGGCGTGAACGGAGTGCTGTTCACTACGTCTGAAGCTGCTGGACAGAGCACAGGACAAGTGTCTGCCCGCTTCTCTCACACCCCTCTTACTTGGCAGCTGCCCCAGCCACCGGCACTGCGGCCACCCTGAGTCTTCCTCACTGTTCTGCTGTCCCCTGTGAGCCTCTCCCCGGCGCTTGAGCCCATGTTCTCTCCCTCCCGCCCTTCCTCTCTCTTCCATGCTCCCTGTCGCACTGAGCATTGCCGTACATGGTCCCTGACCATGGTCCCCTGTTCGTCTCCTGAAGTGTCACACTGGATAGGAGCTGCTGAGTCACCAACTTACCTTTCCCTAGAATTTGGTTTTATTTCCCCATCATTTGCAGAGGTCCTTATTCAATTATATGATCAAGAGTGAGTCTACAAGAATATCAGCACCCGACACAGTGACAAATGGCCTTTCGTAAGCGGTTTCATGCCCTGAGGCCCACACTTGTGCTGGGTGAGCCCAGGACCATGAGCCTTTTCTTTTCCAGGTCTGAACACTCCTGGATTGGTTAGGCTAGCCACTGGAGAGAATATGGCTCTGGCCTTTCTTCATGTTTTGCTGCTTTTCTTTGTACAAATCTTTCCCCCTCCACGTACCACAAGGAATCCTAACCTAGTTGAAATGCTAGTTGCAATTCAGTCTCATGAGAATGCTGAAATAGGCTGCTGAATTAAAACTAAAATTGTCCTCTTCCCTGAAAACACACACACCTAGAGAATGTAGGGAAAGGCTCTTAGGCCTTTGGAATCTTCTTGTATTTTTATTCCCAACAAAATATCTACAAAGAAATGTATAGTATTCCCTCAGTATTCCTCCTCCTGCAGGCTCTGAAAGCAGCCTCATTCCCACCCAGCCCCTGCACACCTGCTTGCAAGATCCCTGCGTGCAGTCATGGAGACTGTTTTCTTTGGGATCCTATCAGTCTGTATGACAACTGGAATGATCACAGATTTACGACCCCAAAGGGTAGAGCATCCCTTTTCATATTTTCCCAGCTGCTAAAAGATGACTATCTCCATTAGAATTTAGAATCCGTCTTAAGATTAGAGATGGTAAGAACTGACTGGATGAGTCTAATTCTGTGATTTGTGAGACATGCATTGAAACCGCCAGCAGAACATTCTGATGATCCACCTACATTCAAAGAGAACAGAATTCACACCACAGTTAAAACCTTCTAATGGAGCCACTGTCTTAGGGATCAAGTTATTAGAGGTGCTGCTTCAGGGATGGTGCTACTTCAAAAGAACCAAAGTCAGAGAGGCACCTCCCTTCCCAAATGCTTCTGCAGGCCACTTTGCTGATCCAGAAAACCCCGACTATCTATTCCTTTACCAGCAGCCCCGCCCTTTCCCTAACAACAACACAACCCAACCTACCAGAATCACTGAAAATCCAAGCAACGCTTAGCCATGAAATACATAGTTTTTGAATAAAAACCTCAGCAGTCATTCTTGTAAGAAACTAAAGATGCCACCATTGTAAATCATGATGCTACAGAGATAAATGCACAGGTCTTCTGAGCACCCCAAAGTCAAGACAACGCAGCCGATGTTTCCTGAGCACGTACTGTGTGCTGGGCCTGTGCACTGCCTCATGACCCGACACCACGCAAGTCACCTGGCCCACGGCAAGGCAAGTCTCCCCTCATTTCTTCATTTCAGTAGGACATTCATTATCAAAGAATGGACCACATATACAGTGGTCTGCCTCTCTGAACACTAACCTGGTTTGTTTTCTCATGCGGCAGTGCCAGGTAGCCCCCCAGACGCACTGTGGCATCGCCCCCTCTGTGAGCTGAATTCCCTCCTTGAGGGTCTGGATGCCACAGCCCCTCCAGAGTCTTCCTCCTTGGTCAGCGATGAGGACAGGAGTGCTGGGAGGTACAGCAGCAGTGGACAGGGTGGGAAACCTGTGTGCTGAGCACCCCCTACCTGCGGTTAGCCAAGGCACAGATAGGAAACCTGTTTGCGCTTCCCGTCTTCTCTCTCTAGCTCTTGTAGCACTTACCTGGTCGTTCCTTCGGGGTTCCCGCTGTCTTCTGGAGCTTTTGGCTAGCCCCTCCTGCTCTCTGGAAACTGAAGCTCTGGGGCTCTGGAATTAGATGAGTGTCTGCTCTGCCGCAGGCCTCCCTGGCTCCTCATGGGTCCTGACTGCCAAGAAATAACAGTTGCTGGAGACACACCTTGATTTGGGCTCAGCATAAGAACTTTCTAGTACCCAGAATCTAGCCGAGGCACAAGCTCCTTCAAGGTAGAGGTCTGGTCCCTGTCCTGCCACGTCGAACTGTGGTGACTTGTCAGGGACATTGAACAGGGACATGGGCGCCAAGCTGACCTGATCAGCTAACTCAAGGTCTGTGTTTCTTCCCCCCTCTCCTTGTCTACCTCTTTTCCGTCAAACCTAAGTGGCTCTCTAGGGCTTGGCTTTCTCATGGTCCCTCTCTTCTGATCTTCTCTGCCCTGTCTTGGGCATCTTGGAACCACCCCAGAAGCAAGGCCACAGCTGTGGACTGGTCCCCCATGAGAGTCTCCCTGGCTCGATGGCCCCATAATAGGTACATAGTTACATTATTATCCAACCTCTACTCCCTAAAAGACCACCTCAGTTTGAAGGAGAAAGGTAGGTGTGTCTTGCATTCTGTTATCAGTCCAGATTTGGCATCTGGTGGCTGGGGTGCCATTGGGATTTTGGAATGGGAGCAGTTCAGTTCCTCCCTAGGAAGGCGCTCACAGCTTTCACAAACTGCTGTCTGTGGCAGTGATGAGTCACCCAATTTGTGTTTCAAAGTTTATTCCTTCCTCCCTTTAGGACTTTTTCAACTTCCCGTCACTTCAGGCTGAGTGTAAGTTTCAGTCATGTATCATGGCTTCCTTTGAGCACAGAAACCTCTCCTTTTCTTCCATTAATGGAACTAAGATCCCAGCATAAACTTGTGAGAGTCATTTTTCCACGTCGTCATTCGCTGGAGCTATGAAGCCAGAACACGGAATGGCGTTAGTGTCATATTAATGTAAGCAGCAGCCACTCTGGTGACGTTCCATTGAATTCTTTTTGTTCTCACACCAGATTCACGGGGTCAGGCAGAGTTTAGAGTGGGCTGCATGGAGCCGCGCTCAGCGGTGGCTGCTTTCAAGCAGCATTGCTTTTTGCCTTGAAACCACATTTCACAATGTTATAATCAGTGAGCCCCTTAATCCTGCATCTCTGAAAATGGGCACCACAAAACCAAAACCAAAGTTCAGGGCTGGGGAGTGGGGCTTGTCTCTCGAAGCACTGGGAGCTGGGGCGGGTGTCCCCTGACGGCGCCTCGGTTTCAATGAGACATTCGGAAGGGCCTCCTCTTTTCTTAGCAGCTGCCTCACGTTTACTCTAGAAAGCAAGCATGTGCAGCCTGTGCCTCCTCGACCCACGGTGGGCGTCTAGAGCAGGCCCTGGGAGCCACGTCTCCTCCCAGCCTCTCCCTTGGGGGCTATAGAGCGCGGTCACAGGAAGGTCTCTGCCGGGCCGAGCCCCTGGACCCTGAGCCATCACAACATTGGCATCCTCGGACATACCTAGGCTGCAAGGCAGGACACTCCCCCTGCTCAGAGATGCCAGGCACGCCAGCGTTGCCTCCCCTAGAAGAGCCCACAGCCTTCTCTGACCTCCCCGCGGGCTCGCCTTCCCTTCCATGGCCATGGTCACGTTGGGTATGCAGTACCTTTCAAGGATAGATTTTTATTTATGTTTTTTAAGTGCCTAAGCAAGTTACAGACCTCTGGAACCTGCCAGAGAGTGGGCCTGTGCCCTGTCCCCATCCCTCCCCACCCTGCACTGGCCCTTGAGGGTGGGCACAGGGCGGCTGCCCCTCTTCAGTGTCCCTGGTGTTCTGCAGGCAGAGCAAGGCAGGGACAAGCTAGCGGGAGAGATCACAGCCACGTCAGGCTGGCTTTGTCACTGTTTTCCAGCATTTCTTTCATTAGGGCTGTTTCTGTTTATATGGGTTTGGCCTTGGTTAATAGAGAATTTAAGAGTCTGCTTAGGGAAGTCTCAGTAGCCATTGAGTAAGAAGACAGGAGAGCAAGACAGCTTCAGCGGCATTCTGGCTCTGGCTTTGGTAGGAGCTGGAAAATGTCCACATCCAAGAGGGCGAAGCATCGAATCACCCTAGCTCATCAGCCTGCTGCCGCCCCTGCCAGCGTGAGCCACAGGAGCCCCAGCTGCCTTTCTGAGCCCTCTCTTCCTAGACTAGAGATCAGGGTGTCTGCTCACAAGGGCTCGGGAAGTCCAGCAGTCTGGCGTCCAGATCCAAAGTGTGTCTTTGGAAATGAATGTGAGAGTATTTGTTTGCTTCTTTTCTAAAAAATCATTTAAGTCTGACCTAAATACGGGGCCTTTATTCTGTGCTGGGTGTACGACGGATTATTTCGTGACTGCACTCTGTTCAAATCACATCACTAAGCGGCGCTCAGATGATTTGTTGGTGCATTAAAAGGTTTTGCAAAATGGAACAATCCATACCCAGGCACTTTATTTTCATTAATAATCCAGCATTTTTGTTCAGACAATGTAAAAACCCAAACACTGGGTTTCACATTTGATACGTGGGCAAACTTGCCAATGAACTGTGACCTGATAGGGAAGGCGGGCTGATGAAGGTGATCCAATGGGAGGATAGTGCTGTGGTCATGAAAATGAGGCTTTTCTGTAGCATGTCAGCCAACCCAGACCCTAGGCAGTACGTCGTCCCTCAGTTCTCCGGATGCTGTTTTTGCAGGTTCTACCAAGTGCTTGTCGATTACCCTAGGTGTAATTGTCTAGGGAAGAGCTGAATGTAAGTGAGGGTGCAGAGCACTGGGCAGGGCGACAGTGAAATGCAGTTAGAGGCAGCAAGAGAGTCCCGGTTTGTTCTCACGTAACTGGACTTGAACGCTCCAGCGCAAGCAGAGTGCTGGGGTGGATTCCACTGCTGAACCACGGCAGCTCGGCTTTACTCCTCAGCGTGGGCTGGGAACCAGCTGCGCAGCAAGTTAGGAAATGGAAAGCAAGCGTAGTGGCTATAGTCTCGGCGGATATCCCGGAGCAGATGCCTTGGGATTGCCTGAAGTGTTTAGCGTCCACCAAATAGTCGAATTTCTAAGATGGGCCATGCGGGATCCCTGCCACATGGGCGTGGGGGCAGCGCGCCCCTCCCTGCCTCGGCTGCTGTGTGTCTTAGTCTTCGCGTTTCCCCTTGGCGTCTCCTCTGGTCCCTGTCCATTTGTGCGCCATGTGTCCCTGAGGGCGAGTCACACCTGTGTCTGAGTCTGCTGTAAGGTGTTCAGTCTACCTCAAGGGGTCATCATGGTAAGCTCTGTCCCACGGCATCCTCCGCCCATCGCCACACACACTGGAATGTATCCCCCCCCATGCCCCATCCCTTCGACAACCTCTGACCCTGTCTTTCCTGTTATCACCACGAACTCCTAGTGCAAATTGGATGCTGCTTTAAATGTGAAAACAATTGTTCAAAAGCTATAAAACCTGAATGAAAGCTGAAGCTGAATTTATAAGCCTTGTTGCATATGAGCCAAAAGTGCAAAAAGCTCTATATAATGAACTAACCTGCCACTCGTATAAATATAAATATATATAAATATATTAAAATCAGACTGTTCTACAAAATTGTGTATTTGTATTTTTGTGTACGTACAATTTTCTGCTAAGCAGAAGGAGGATGTAGTATAGGATGCTGTGAGAAGAGATTTGGTTTAATCCTATTTCTTTGTTACTTATTTTTGTTAACATCAGATGCCTGTCTTTGTCTTCTATGTGTATGACACTGTGTGGAAAGCTGCAGTATCTCTCTTCCTGAGGTCCAGAGTCCATTAAAGAATAAGCATGGGGCTTAGAGTTGTTTTGGCCACTGAACACAGGTGAGCCAACAGAGTTCGGCTCCCGTATGCGGTGCAGTGTGGCCTGGAGCTGCTTGTGGTCCTGTGGGACGGAAAGAAAGGGCCCCCCACTTCAGGCTGGTCACTGTATTTTGACTTCCCTCTGGGAAGCAAAATCTCACTTGTAAAAATCAACTTCCAGGACAAAAGATGATCTGATGCCACTTTTCTGGGTCTACCAAGAAGGGACACAGATCTCTCTGAACTTTGCAACAGGCCCTTATATTTTGGGGCCAGAAGTTTGCCCAGAAAGCAGCAGGTAGCCCTGCCTGGCTGAAGCCTGGCTCATCGGCCACCCTTGGGCTTCATCTCCCTCCTCCGAGTAGTTGCTGCCTTCTTCAGATCAGGTAACCACAACGCCTCCCCGCTGCTGATGCTTCATCCCCACACCTCCAGCCCCAGTGACCTGGAGCTTCTCAGAACCCACTTTGCTGGTGCTAAAACACAAGAGGGGGTGAAAGTGGCTGCCAGTAATGGCCAGAAAGCAGCCACCAGAGGCCACGCTGAAAGACAAGCTCTGGGTGCCCAGGGGCTGACAGGCCAACCACGCGGCCGGTCCCAGGCCCCACCCACTGCTGCCCTATGCCTCTGAGCTCCACGGTGGCCCCTCTCCATGGGAACCTCCTCTAGGGAGAGCGATACTGCACCTTCACCTGTAGGACTCATCTTTATAACAATGTGTAATGGCTGTAGCAAAAAGCCCTTGTTTCTAGATGTAAATGGTCCAAGAAACAAGCGCTCCATTGTATTGAATAAAATAGTTCAAATGAGTCCTGTATCATTGTATCTCCTATTCTGGATTAGTGCCTTTTGGACAGTAGACTGTTCTGTAATTAAAATGTAGTATACTGCTTTTTTGTACAGTTTTGTTTTAATAAAACTTTTTTTTAATTTGTGTTTATTTTAGTATTGTACCTATTAGAGAATAAAATGTATAACTGAATACAGACTGGCTGGGATTTCTTTGGATCAAAATGATCATTTGGGAAGTGCCCAACCCGAACAAAGAGATGGAACATTTTGAACATGGGTCCCTTTGGGTATTTAAAATGACTTGGGAAGGCGCTCACACAGCTGCTGCATGCCCCGTGGGTAAAGGCAATGCCGAGCCCAGAAAAGCCCCTCTACTGCTCCACTCCCAGACCCTCCAGCCTGTGCTGGGCTCATGTCTGGGTCACACTAGGCAAGGCTGTGCCTCCTGGGAGTCCCCAGACCTCACCCTCCCTCATGGTGGCACACTGCCACCTGGCCTGCCGTCTCCCCACCATCTTCAAGCTGCAAGATCACTTGAAGACTTGGCCACCCCTAAGGCCATCAGGATCCTTGCAGCTCTTCCCCACACTGAGAGCCAGCCTCTGACTTACATGAGTTGCTGAAGTCCATGCAGCTTCTCCATTCCAGGCCACGCCCTGAGGCTCATTGTCTTAAGAGAGCTCTGTCTCTCTTGGGTCTGCACCTTAAGCAATAAAAAACAGTAAATAAAGCCAGGCCTTCATTACTGGTTTTCTCTAAAAGCTTCCAGTGGTTGGCATCAAATTCCACGCTTGCCTCTCCCTTCTCAGAAAACCTAAGATAAATATGATGTGTCTTCTTTTCTTCACATATATTATGAGAAAAGATTATGCAGAATTTTAAGCTGCCCCAAACCCTGTTGAAGTTGCCAAGTGGAGGAGGGGAGGGGTTCAGGGTGGGGGGTGAGGGCAGGGACCAGCCCTGAGGACGTCCCCACCCATATTCCCCTTTCTTGGCCCCAGATTGCTATTTTTGCTTAAGCAGAAGTGCTGATGAGCCAACCTTCCCACAGCCCACCCAACCTTTCTCCATGTGCACCGCACAGCCCAGACTGCTCCCGACTGCCCATGTCCTCAGAGCACTCTAGGGCCAACTCCCTCAACCCCAAGGCCCTCCTGGGTGCATCAGCACCACCCTACCATGGCACCCATTGGGACAGCTTGCTTCTGTACACCATGAGGACAGGCACAGGGCGAGTTTGTGAATGTTAGTGACAGTGAGTGGAAGCAATGAACTGGGTGTGACGTCCATTATAGCCCGTTTCAGAGTCTGAGCGACTCCAAAAACCCCACAGCCTTAGACAAACAAAAGACATCTGATTGAGTTGCAAGAGCGTAGTGGCTTGAAAAATAAAATCCACTCTAGGTGCCAGATCAATTCTGTGTTCAGATTCCTCCCTCACTCAGAGCAGGGCATCTCCTGGCTGCCAAATTTTTGTCATTATTTGGCAGTGCTTGTGTCCGAGCACTCTTCTGCACTGAGGAATATAAACCAACCCTGCCTGGCCATGCTGGCAGATGGACACCACTGGTCAGCCCTCGGAGTGGCTGAGGCCTCCACTTCTAAGTGTATTTTATATCCAAGGGCCGAGTGATTCACTGTCACAGAAAGAAAACAGCTTTACACAGGGCCACCAGCACCTCTGCCTCCTTGTTGGAATGTGCACTGGCTGCCCGGCTGGTAAGACAGCCCACCCAACCCTTCAGGCACACCAGACATCTCCCAACTCCCCTGTGCCCCTGCAGCCCTGTGGCTGAGTGGGAATCCACTGGCGAATGGAAGGAAGCCAGGTCACCTTGCCTGGCTCGAAAGTTGGACCCAGTAACCTCAGGACCATTCCAGGCCCACGCCGGGTACAATTGGGTGGGAGGCTGCAGAATGCAGCCCCACTGCCCACAACCATGATCACCGCCTCCCAAAACATCTTGTTACAGACCCCCGCAGAGGCTGCCCACCTCTGCAGAGGGGAAAGAAGTCCTCTCACCACGGTTTCAGGGAAGAGGGGAGGCCCAGTGTAGGAACTATTACGAAGGTTACAGTGGACAATGGAGTCAGGCCTGAGAACCAGGGACAGTCCCTACCAGGTCTCCCAGTAGCACCACTTACCTGGGGTCAAAGGGCTCCAGAAAGTTCCTATGGCTCCTGGCTTCTGTAAGGGGCTGAAGTCCAAACAAGGAAAGACGACTCGGAACCAGGGGCCCACCTGGGCTCTTTAGTCCAAATCATGAACAGCTCAGCCTCTGGAGTCCATGGGCCAGGGGCCAGCACAGTCTGCTGCTGTTCCCCGGTCTTCCTCCTCCCAGTCTCAGTTTGGAAAAGCCCCACCACCACCTTCGCTGAGAACAGTGATGGGAGGCCTGCCAGGGGCTCTAAACCCCGTGTCAGGGTCGGGGAAGGAGAAGCAACAAGACGGGCCTCAGACATGATGCAGGTGAGAAATCGTCTGGTTTTATTGAGAAGCTGTTGGTCATTTGAAGGAAAGGCATATACGGTATAAAATTACAGGTGGTTTAGTTCATTACACAATACAAATCATTAGAGTCTCTAAAAGTCATTACAGTCTTTGGATTAAACTCCCATTTAATGTATACCTAATCAATATAATCCCGGAATGAAAGTCACTTCTTTATATGTGGACTCCTCACATTTACACGAATCCAACATACAGAAGCTGTTCCAAGACCCCCCAACACCATTAGTGTCAGCAGCCCACCAGGAAGGCACCACGGACTTCACGGAGAGAAAAATGCTTTTGGGTTCAGTGGGTCAGTATCTTGGGCAGGAAGCACAGGGTGACTCCTGTCCCGGGGCTCAGGCACAAGACAAGCCCAGCACCAAGGCACCATCTTCCGGGGAGTCCCTGGGGGGAGCTGAACCGCACCGAGAATCCTGTGTCGTGAGCACTGCACTGCCACACACACTCAGGACTTCCTGTTTCACATACAGGGAACTTTGAAGGCAAGAGGATAACATGCTGGAAGTACTGGGGGGACCTGAACACCTCCATCTCTCAGGCTCCAGCAGTCACATCTCCAGCTCTGTTCTCTTGTCGAGCACACAAGGACCACCTTGTTGCACCCAGAAACGCCTTCCCCTCCCCACCTCCGCCCTCCCGCTCCCTCTGGTCAGGCCTGGGCACTCGGAACCTCAGTCATACACCTGTCCCCTGTGCCCTCTGCTGCTGGACGCAGTGCCTGGGGCAGAAGTGAGCCTTCACCCTGGAGCCACAGTTCCTCATAAGGGCCCGAGGGAAGTGGCAGGGCAGGGCCAAGGGTGTTCTGGGCACACGACAAGAAGCAGTGTCCCCGGAAGGATCCCCTGTCCACATCTCTGACAGCGCTGCGCGTATGGTTACTGCTCTTACCAGCCTTGGGTAGCATCTGCCGGCCGACCCACACAAAGGTGCCACTCCCGGGCCTTCCAGGAACGCATTGGGAGCCCTAAAGCGGGCAGGCGAGCGGGCATTCCTGGGAGTTAAGTCTGCTGGTCAGGGAGGCAAGAAGAGAAGACAGGAGCCGGCCGCCCTGACCCGCCACCCTCGAGCCCGCACCTCCTGCCTGCCAAGCACCGGCCCTCGGTCAGCGGGACTCACTGCCTTAGGACCACGTCGCTGCACGTCCGTCTTTCCCAGCCACAAGCTGACATTAGTCTGCACCGAGAAGCAAGAGCAAACAGGGCCTGGGCCCAAATCCATCTGCTCAAGTCAGGACACTTGTGTCCCCCAGGACTTCCCCAAAACGGTGCCACAGGAGGCCACTGCTGGGCGGATGGGCTCAGCCACCATGAGGTGCCAGGTCACACACCGCCCACCCACCTGCCGCTTTTCCCTGAGCGTCCCCACCACAGGGCCCAGGCGCTCCCCTCTCACCTAGGCCACAGTGACACTAGGGGACCCAAGAACAAACTTCTCAGTGAAACAGGTTTTAAAAAGCAAGCCACTGTGCTGGGAAGAGGGCCGAGTAAAAAGCGAGGCAGTGGTGACAGTGCTTATCCAGGGACAGGGGCCACAGGGTTCCCCAAAACACTGGCTGAGGACAGGGAGGCCCAGTATGAGTGCCTCCGCCTAGCCCGGCCTCAGCCCTTGTGTCCCTCACAGCCACTGGGGAGGGAAGGACACTTCTCTTCGAAGCCAGGCCTGGGACGGGCCTACTGTGAAGACTACTTCGCTGGAGGCTTCCTGCCCCTAGAGAACCAGAGCCTTCCACAGCGCTTTCTGGTTGTCGTCCAAATGTGAGAACTAGAAACCAACTGCCAAGAGTGGCTGTGTGAACCTTGACCCAGGGTCCTGTCCCTAGATTGGTGGCCTGGGGCTGTCAGGCTGTTACTTCTGCCATGCCCTCAACCAGCTCCCCCTGCCTTCCACACAGAGATGCTGACCCCCACCCCACAAAGCTGGCATCAAAGGCTCCGGGAGCAGAAGTGCCCCAGCAAGGAAACAGAGGCCACCGGGCTGTCCTGCCCACCCCCTGCCCACTCCAGGTGGCCTGGAGACATGGCTGCTGCGAGGGTCTGGAGACAAACCAGGCGCACCCCCCACATGGACGGGCCCAGCCCCACACTGTCAGGGCCTGGGAGTTGCCACAGAGTTAAAATGACCCCAGGACCTTCCTAGAAACCAAAAGTGCACCAAATAAAGTAGTGATGCCTCTTCCTTTGTCACCGACTACGGAAGCACAACACCATTCTCCCAGGTTTTTGCTTTTATCCAAGTTAAGAGTAAGGCCACTGTGGATCCCCAATAGAGGGGCATGAGAAGGGGGCTGCATCCTCTGCCGTCCCCAGGACCCTCCACCTGGGCAGGAGGCTAGCAGCTCTGCAATGGCCAGCAAGGCCACGACATGCAAGGCAGGCCCTGGGCCCCGACGCGCAGGCAGATGATGATTGCGCCTCGCAAATGATTACGGATTTTGAAAAAATAAATATAAATAAATAAATTCCAAGCCTTCTGTGAAGGGAATAAATGGCAAACGTAAGGGACTTTGCAGCTGTAAAGACACCAAGACACCCACCAAGAAACCGTGAAGAAACCCTAGCCGAGGAGGGGTAGGAGGAGGCTCAGGCCCTCGGCCCCACCTGGGGCACCAGGGCCATGTGCCAGAGCCCAGGCCCTCCAGAGGCACTTGGAGAACCTGGGACCAGGGTGGGAGGCTGGGGAGCTTGAGGAGTGAGCCGGGACATCCTGGGTGGGTGGAGGAAAGGCACTGGTTAGAATTCTGGTTTACGTTAAGACATTAGTGGGGCCACCAGAATGAAAATGACAGAGCAACATAAGGCGCCAGGCACAGGCACACAGCGAGATGGCTGGGCGCTATGCCAGCCAGGGCCTCGGTCCCCACATCCCCCAGCCCCTGCAGGAACCCAGAACCTTCCACCTGAGGAGGCACAGCTGAGGCCACCTCTTTCCCCAGGTAGAGAAGAAACAAAGCTTCCAGAAGCCCAGGGAGGTCGCCAGCCCTGCGTTGTGCAAAAAGCATTCACTGCCTTGCCTCCAGGGAAGGGGCCACAGGGCTCCCAGTTCCCTAGGGCTTCCGGTTCCCCAGGCTGTTGCTGGCAGACTCAGAGGGGCCCGGCACCCCAAGAAGAGTTCGCCCTGAGGTGGCAGCTCAGCTGGCCCAGGATTTCCGATTCTCAGGGTTCTTGTGGCTCCTGTCGGCCTTGGCCAGGGCGGCTGTCAGCGAGGCCAGGTTGGTGGCAGAGCCCGAGAGGGTGGCGCTCCGGCGGACCTCGGGGGCGCCCAGTCGGAGCCCCGCGCTGCGCCGCCGCATGGGGCCTGTGGCCCTGCGAACCCGGCTGGGCCTGACCAGCAGCCCGTAGCCAGGGTTACACCTGAAGTACTGCTTCCCGCCGATGGAGCCGTCATTCTTACCTGCAGGGGAAGGAAAGAGCAAAATGGAGGGCAGGCCAGCTGCAGACACTCCCTGCACCTCCCTTGCCTCTGCAGAGGCCATGTGCCCACAATGCCAACCCCCACGCCATCCCCTGGCACAGCCCTACACAGCTGACACTCAGACACTGGCCATCGTCTGGCAGGGACCAGCTAAGTGAATGTGGCCAGGGCATAAGGTGACCACCTCCCAGGACAGCAAGCAGTGGTGACCAAGGATGCCCAGCCCCAGTCCACGGCCTCAGGCAGGAGGTAACAGGCCCTGGGAGTGCCTTTCGGGAGCGAAGGTGCAGGCCAACCACCAAGGCAGAGCTGGCCACCCGCGAGGGAACACACCCATCTCCATCTAGACCCAGGCCTGGGCTGGGTGGTGGCAGAATGGTTATTTTGCGGCGTCTATGAAATGGAAACTGTCAAAACTGCCGAATGATGGCAAGTCAGATGCCAGCGAGATGTGTCAGGATGGGGTGAGGAAGAGCTTCCTCGAACAGCAATGCGCGGATGCTTAAGGTGAAGAATAAGAAAGCAGAGCCCAGGGAGTGTGGGGGGTGGTCAAGGAACCGGAGCAAAGGGACCAGGACGGCCATGGCCATGGGAGGACGGGTGCAGGATCTTTGTGGCCAAAATCATCCGGAATCTTCCTTGCCGCCTCCAGGGACCAGCCCTGCCCCTGCCTTGCCCTGCAGGCCCAGCTGTTCCTCCCGGCCTCTCTCCTGCCTGGGCCCTGACCCCTCCCAGGCCGGCCACGCTCCCGCTTCCCCCCACCCCCAGCACCGCCCTAGAGACTGGAGCCCGGCACCCACCTGAAGGCAGGTCCAGCTCCACGCCGACCCACGTGCCCTCCTGGAAGTCGACGGGACCCACATATCTCACCACGCCCGTTTTGTGGGCGCCCACGGTGACGAACTCGCCCTCTCGGAGCCACTCTGGAACCCCGTCGGCTTCCTCGGAATCGGAGGCCGGGGCCTGTCCCCCAGTGCCCGCAGCCGGCGCATCCCGCTCGGCCCCCGGGGAGCAGCCGGGGTCCCCGCCCAGCATGCGCGAGAAGGAGCGCAGCTCTGAGGCTCGCACCCTCCGGACGCGGAATGGGGAGCCGGGCGCCAGGGCCTCCAGGTCGGGGCGCTCCTGGCTGGGGCTCACCAGCTGCTGCGGGCCGGGGGGCTCCTCGGCGGGGGCGGCCATGGGCGGCGGGGGGCGGCGGATGGGCGTCTCTGGCTCGGCCTCAGGGGCGGCGGGCGCGGGGCCGGGCGGGGCAGCAGCGTCCAGGCCGGGGCCCAGTGCGTCCGACAGGGTCGCGGTGGAGACGCTGTGGGAAAAGTACCCGCTGGAGGCCTCGCTCAGGGGGCTGGGGGGCCCGTCCTGCACTTCCGGGGCCGGGGTGGCCGCTGTGACCACGGGGACAGGCGGCGGGGAAGGCGCTTTGGAGGGCTTGTCGCCGATCTTCAAGGCCGGGGCCCCCATCGTCTGCACCAGCACGTCAGGACCCGTCTCCAGCTGAGCCTGCAGCGGGACAGAGGGAAGCAAAGGCTGAGAGCAGAGAACTTCCCAACAACATCCACACCAGCAGCTGACTGTGAAGACAGCCAGCCAGAGGCAGGGGCTCAGCCTGAAACCCCACTGCTCACAGAGGGCAAGGTGGAAGATGGCTTGAGCCCAGGGATCCAAGAACAGCCTGGGCCACACAGTGAGACCCCATCTCCACAAAATAAATAAAGAGCACGGCTGGGACTGGCCAGGCCTGGTTCCCACAGTGGTTCTGCGGCTTAGGTCTATCAGGCCCTCGCTTCACAAGTGACAAAGGTGTAGGGGCAACCGTGCACCTCACAAGCCCCGTGCTGGGTGCCTGGGCTCAAAAGTGCTAGCCACAACCATAGCCCTCGCGTCATCAACTCGACCTTTCATACAGAACAGAGTCCAGGACCTGCCACGCAGGGCCAGCGTGCTACAAGGACCAAAGCCCCTTGCCACAGAGGGTGGCACACAGTAGGTGCACACCCAAACCTTGCTACGGCTAGTTAGCTTTTGTCCCATAGAGACAAAGCCCCTGACCACCCCTGACCTCAGGAAGAGGCTGAGTCACTCAACAAGCCAGAAGAGCACTTTTGTCTCCGGCAAAACCTAAACAATGATCTCATCGGAGGACCGGAACACGCTCAGCACAGCCTGGCCAGTGCAGGCACCAACGAGAGCCACGGGCCTGTGGCCTGGCTGGGCATCCAGGGCAAGGAGGCAGTGGGACGAGGTGGCGGATGATGGGGAAATGGGGGCGACAAGGTGGTGGATGAGGGGGGAATGGGGAGGATGAGGCGGTGAATGGAGGGGGACGAGGCGGCGGATGGGGGGGCAATGGGGGGACGATGCGGCGGATGGGGGGGGACGGGGGGGAGGAGGCGGTGGATGAGGAGGGGGAGGAAGGTCCCTTGGGCCATGGCCCTTTCTGTCCGAGTTGGCTGTTCTGGCTGCTATGGAAAGCAGGTTCCATGTCAGGGGTTGGGGGACCTCAGACCCTAGAGACAGGCCAGGAAGTAGCCCCCAGGGAGAAGCCACCAAGAGAGGCTGGCCGCTCTCTCCACATCAGTTACTCTGAGTCACCCAGGCAGAGGACACACATACACACACACCGCCCGAATCTCATGGGGGATAACAGCCACCGCTTGCCCAAATTCTGCTGTTTCTGGGGTGTTCTTTCGTCTGTAACTAAAGCCCTGTGAAGCAGCTACTGGATCCTATTTCTATTTGCAATGACCGGAGAAAAGGAGAAGGTAGGAACAAGGAAGGAGACTGGCGGGGTGCAGAAGGTTGCTATCCAGAAGAAATATGTTTTCCGATATTTACGGAAAAATTATTTATATTACAGGAATGGTCATTTTCCATTTGAAATACAGGATTTATTTGAACGGGGAAGAGGCAGAGATCTATAAGTCTCCTACTGTTACTTGGCTTACCTCAGCAGCTTGATAAATCATGCCTTTTCCCAGGAACTGTCATTTATATTTCTGTTTCCAGGGGCCCTCTTTTCCCCACAAGCCACACTCTCAGGGTATGAAATTAACGGCACCTCTTGAGATTAACAGCCCATTTTTGTGATGAATCTCTGGGCTGCAAAATTTACTCAATTCAATGTATCAATAACTGTCACTAGCATAAATACTCTAAAAGATTAGGCAATCCTTCAATCATTCTTCCTTTGCATGTTGCACACATTTTATTTATTTTCTTCTATTTTAGTTTTAATATCACTGGCCATGCAGGGAAGAAAACACAGAACCACGAGAGCCGGAAATCTGAACAGTAACCAGGGTCCTGAAATGGCTTCTGTTACCTGCCCCCACCCCAGGTGAGGCCAGCCACTGTCACTTCCGCACCTGGCGCTGAGGGCCAGGCCAGGCTGTCCCAGGAGGCGGCCAGCCGCATGACTCAGATTTGCGGGTATCATCCCGTTGGCTTCCACCTAAGTCACTGGCTTGGATGGGCAGGAAGGATTGTGGCATTATTGTGTTGCAGGCCTCCAGAGAAAAAGCCCTGATCCAAGGCCCTGCTAAGTGAAAAGGAAGGAACTGGGGGCAGAGTGGCAGTGTCAACCAAAGAGGGCGTGGGACAGCGGGAAGCAGCCAGTGGCCGCAGCCTGGGAGGCCTGCCGGTTATGATACTCCATGCCGCGTCCCCCTCAACTGGAGGTGACTTGTGGGTTGAAACCCAGGTGCCATCTCTGGATTATACCCTTACCAATGAAGGAGGCATTTCTGGAGACTTCGGGAAAAGCTTGGAAAACACCATGATGAGCTCCAGAAGCTGCTGCCTTCGCCGGCAAGGGGCCTGCTCTGGCCATTTCACTGCCCAGGGGCACTCAACCTGCCTCACAAAGTGACCAGCACCACTCCCAGGAAAGGGGCACCCTGATCTCGTCCACAGCAAATTCGTGAACGTTCAGTGTGCACTGGAGTAAAAGGGTCATTCACACAGAAGGACGTTCATGGAGGTCTGAATATTCTTTCACATTATTGTGCCTCTGTTTCTGTTCTTTTAATAAAGAAAACTTTCCTAAGAAGATACAGCATTTCCTAAGAGAATGAAAGCGCAGGTGGAGAAAACAGATTTGCTGTTCATCAGATGAGAGTGCTGTTGATCTGTGGGGGATCGTAAGAGACGATTTTCTCCCAGCTTAGCGTCTTTTCACGCTGATATCATGAATCAGGATGAAATGTAAAACTGAGAATTAAGCAAACATTTAGAAGGAGATGGTTCTGTTTATAGCAATCTCCTCTGCCTAGCTGTGGGCTATTAAGGCAGCAGGCTATATTAGCAGTCAAGCACCTAAAAGTTTAGCAATCGTATGATTAACAAGTTGAACACAGAAAAGCGTAACAAGGAAACAGAGAAGGAGAAGACCGCGACCTATATGACAGCCAGTTACCAAAGCAGGAACACCAACATCAAAAACTACCAGTGTGGACTCAACAGTTTCAGCATCAGGACCACCCGCTGCAGGAGGCGCGGCCACCCACGGCCTGACTGACTCACCTCCTCCATCCTGGTCACCCCGACGTCTGGGCCGGCCAACTGCACCATGATGCGGGGCACGGGCTGGGGAGGCAAGCGTGCAGGTCAGGGGTTGAGGGACAGAACAGAGGTAGCGGAGAGGCTTACGCTGCACGGGCTGGAGGGCCAGGACCTGCCCAAGGGGAACCGGCCCAACCAGGGTGCAGGTGCGGGGCTCCACACCCTCCAAGGAACAAGGGACCCAGCAAGGGGCTCCTCCCCCAGCCAGGGACACAGGCTGCACACCAAGATCACAACACAGTGGTGCACTGATGTGTGCGATGATGCTCCCTCCCTCCAATCACATATGCACATGACAAATGAGTGCTGGGCCTGTACAGACAAGCGTTATGAGACAGGAAAGATCTAGAAAGACGTCCAGCAGTAGGAGAAAGCCACACCAGGGCCTGACTCAGGGAGACGAAGGCATGTAGTCACAGGCGGGGAGGAGGGAGGCTAGGCTGGCTGGAGCACAAACCCAGAGCCCAAGACGGCAGGCACACGTCTGCAGCAGGCCCTGGGCATCAAAAACTAACCCAACTCAGAGAGGAAGGGGGCCCCCACCAAGTCCCCAGCAAAGCAAGACGGCAGCTGAAGACCAGAGATTCTGACTGGGCGGGGACACAACCTGACCAGAAGGAGATTTCAAGCCCAAAGAGGCAGATCAGTAACACGACTCCAGCAACAGAGCAGGGGTGAGGAGGTAAGAGCCAAGAAAGAACCTGGTTACTTGTGGACACTGGGCCAGGCAGCATTAAAGAGAGAGAGCAAAGCAACATCAGAGCCAGGAGAAGGGAAGGCCAGGGGAGAGAAGGAGCCAGAACGGCCTTCTGTTGCTGCGGAGCATCCGGCGGCTATGGGACGCAGAAGCAGCTAAGCAGACGCGTTCATCCCAGGAAGAAGCTGGGAACACGCCACACCCCCCTCAATCCTGTCACCCCCCAACTGCAGTAATCAGGCCTGGCCTCACACGCAGGGCTCTCATGAGGGTCCCGTTCTGCCAGAACAGCCAAGGGGTGGGCTTCTCCCTTGTGGGTCCACTGGGCACAGCTGGTCGCTGCTCAGTTACTGAACTTCAACTGCCCAGCACTGTGGACTCCACCTATCCTGCCTGCCTTCCCCCAGCCTCAGCTGTCCTGGTGCTGGGCACCTGAGGCCTCCACAGAGTCGGGCCTTGTGGACAGAGCGGCAGGCGCGCAGCTGGACTGCCCAGGCTTCTCCCTTCTACTGGGGAGCCTGGACTCCAGCACAGGGAGAAGAGCCCTGAAAGAAGCCAGCCCGCTCGGCAGGGTGCTCACCACGTTTACAAGCATGGACTAGCCTCACTTCACCGAAGGGCACCGCTGTGACCATGAGTACCTTGGGGCTGCTTCTGGGAGAAAAGTTTAAGAGGGAATTGACTCTGCGGAAGGTAGGGGGCACTGGCAGGATTTCAGAAAAGGCACAGTGGAGAGGACTCAGGAGGAAGCGCAGCGATCAGGCTTCAAGACCTGGAGGGATGGGAGCCAGATGTGGTGGTCCACACCTGCAGTCCCAGCTACTCAGCAGGCAGAGGCAGGAGGATTACTTAAGCTCAGGAGTGGGAGGCTGCAGTGAGCTGTGATCACACCACCATATTTCAGCCTGGGCAACAAAGCCAGCCCTTGTGTCAAAGAAAAAAAAAAAAAGGTGGAAGGACCAAGGAAATGCACAAAAGGAATGTGTACTTTACCCTGCAAACACTGGGGAGGTCCTGGGGTGGTCTGAGGCCAGGGACAGCCAGCGCCAGGGTGCTGTCAAGACTAAGTGAGCAGCCAATGGGACCGGGGAAGGGAGGGTCCCCTGGTGGCAGTGAGGCCACTGCACATGACACAGCCCGAAGGACAAGACCTCTGGCCTCCACCTCAATTCCTGAGCAGAACAGTGTCCCCTCTGTGCCCCTTGCAGCACTCAGCTCCTTCTGTCCCCGCCGCTGCTCCCCACGGCACCACCTACTGCCACCTCCCAGAGAAGAAAGCGAGGCTCACGCGTGAGTCCCACGCTGCCAGGCAGTCCTTGCGGCAGGGGCTATCTTCATTTTTCTCCCCACAGTATTTAACGTTCCCACAAATGGGAAGGTGTTCCAGGGTATATTTCATGACAAAAGCAGAAAAAACATTTCACAAATTCCAAAATTCTTGCATTCATCAGCTACATCTTACCTACAGTGGACAGGACTGAGAGTCCACTGTTTCTACTACGGTCAAGTTTATCCCCCTTAAAGCCTAAAAACGTAAAAACCCCAAGGATGGAACGGCAACTGCCCAGCACGAAACCTTTTCTAAAAATCACGTGATTCCTGCCCTCTGAAGCAGACCACGCAAACAAGTTACACTTTCCTTCAAAACGCAGTGTGACTGGAAAGCCAGGTAGATGGATGCTTTTTAAATATTTGCTGAAATGGATTTACGGACCGGATTGACTGCCACCTTGGTTCTTTCCCTCCACGTATAAAAATTCAGCTCAACAGAGACTGCATCAGGTCCTACAGCATGGGGGTATGGCACCAGGGGCTCTGCTCTCAGCAGATGAGCAACCTGATTGGGGGGGAATACGTGAGCAAGTCACTAAAATCCAGGAATGTGACACTGGAGTGGAAGCTCAAAAGCACAGAGGAGACCGGGCGCAGTGGCTCCCACCTGTAATCTCAGCAGTTTGGGAGGCCAAGGCAGGAGGATCACCTGAGGTCAGGAGCTCAAGACCAGCCTGGCCAACATGGTGAAACCCTGTACCTACTAAAAATACAAAAAAAAAAAAAATTAGCTGTGCATGGTGGCAGGTGCCTGCAATCCCAGCTAGTCAGGAGGCTCAGGCAACAGAATCGTTTGAACCCAGGAGGTGGAGGCTGCAGTGAGCCAAGATTGCACTATTGTACCACTCCTGCCTGGGCGACAATAGTAAAACTCCATTTCAAAAAAAAAAAAAAAAAAGAATTCAGAGGAGGAAGGGGTCATAAATAGAATGGGTGTGAATATCACATGAGGGAGGCTTTTGACACAGGCCTTGGGTATGAGTTCAGCAACCTTTTTAAGGATGCCAAATATATCGACCACGAACACTGAGGTACTGTGTCATCATCCTTCACGCATAATAGCTGCAATTTCCAAGTGTGTCTGTCTCACTTTCCTGCTCTTCTGCATCTCACCTGTGCAGGTGGTCACCTCCCATTTCAGGGCTCAAAACATTTCAGATCTTAAGTTCATTAATCCTTACGACACATCTGGTAACTATTAAAAAAATGACTGCAAAGTTTTTTGCAGCTATAAATATTAAGGAGAAGTCCCGTGAGGCAACTGAATATAATTATCTACATTTCACACTACAGAAACTGAGGCTCAGAGAACATTTACCTAATGGTTAAACGTATTCACGTTGTCACACAAGTGAGTGACAGGGATGGAAAAGGATTTAGTTCTCTAGTGCTGGCTGAACCTGCAATCACGCCGTCCACTGGGCGCTGGAAAAACTGGACAGATGAACAGCTTACAGGCCACAGAACAACTTAGAAATATTTCAGGGAAAAGGTGCCGGTCACTGCTCTAATAATATTGCACTACTTTTTAACTCTGGCTTTCACGTTTCTGCATGAATACATGGGAGATCAGGTCAGCATTTCATAACTTGGAACAAAAGCTAGAAGAATAAAATAACTCCCTGACGTGACATACAACATCTCCAAGGAGACACACCTTGCCTTGCGTGCTCCCCTAGTCCACTCAGAATTCCTTCAATGCACGGCTTTTCCGGACCCTTCCTCACGCCACTCCCCCCGCTAGGGAATCGTGTCCCACCTGGTGAATACGGATCCATTTCTAAGTCTCTGCTCAAGCCTGATCTAATTCTCCTGAAACTGCCAGGAGCAGTGCCCACTCATTTCGCTGTGTCGTCCGCAGACACACGTGACAGTACCTAGAGTGTCATCTCGCACTGTTTCTTCATCTGCTTATGTGGCTCTAAAGAGGCTTCTCTAAACTTCAGGTTCTTGGAAGGGGACAGACCACACCTCATTCATCCCGGTATTTCCGTACGTAAAACAGTAGCTCAGTGTTTGCTCGATGAACAAACAAATGCATAAATTACTTAGCAAGTGACACAAAGAAGACTAAATTGTACAGTTACCCAGGAAAGAACAGACAGTCTGAAATGTGGGCATCAGGGCAAGTAAAGCAGAAAAGAGGTCTCAGTTGAAGGAAAAAAATAATCACTGTAGAACTTCCCCAACATTGCATTTTCTGATGTATTTTTTCTTGTTTGAAAATAAACCTTTCATGACTAAAAATCACCCCTTACCCTGAATTTCAGAAATTCTTAAATGTCATATTTCAGTGGTGCCTATACTAATACAATCCTCTGTCTTGTTTTAAACACTAACGAATGATTTAAATCCAAGTATAGAAAATTACTTTTTAATGGAATATACAAGATACGTGAAGATTTATTTTTTGTTACAACCTTTCATTTTCCTGCTGCTGAAGTGTGAAAAACTGAAGAAACACAAGGCAGCAGAGGTGGGGCCTCTAACCTCCAAAATGCCTGCTAATCTCCGAAACTGTTCTGATAAAAGTAACACACGTGGATACAAATCAGACACTGTGTACAGTGGCTCTCACCACCTGCAATCCCAGCACTTTGGGAGGCTGAGGCAGGAGAATCACTTGAGCCCAGGAAGGAGTTCAAGACCAGCCTGGAAAATGTGGAGAAACTCCATCTCTACAAAAGTTAAATTAGCTGGGCGTGGTGTGCACACCTGTAGTCCTAGCTACTTGGGAGCTGAGAACTGCTTGAGCCCAGGAGGTTGAGGCTGCAGTGAGCCATTATCATGCCACTGCACTCCACCCTGGGCGACTGAGTGACACCCAGTATAAAAAAAAAAAAAAAAAAAAAGACATGTAAAACGCAAACATTAAGCCTCAGGAATAACCTAATTGATAGAAACATCTTTTTAAGGTTGTCCTGACCAGGGGCCTGGAGGAGAGGGAAATGCAGAGTTCTGCGGGGCAGGCAGGGAGAATGCGTCCTGCACTGGC